CCACAGTTGCGTGACGTAAGCTAGGAGGTCCCCTGTGGATCGTTGGTGCCGGAAACCGTACTGCCTGTCGCTAATCAAGCTGTGACGTTCGAGGTAGTCCAGAAGCTCGCGATTTATGCACCTCTCCATCACTTTACTTATAACAGAAAGCAGAGCTATAGGCCTGTAGTTGTAAGGGTCGGTCTTAGATCCTTTTTTTGGGATGGGCTGTACATGAGCAAATTTCCAGTTTTCTGGGAAGGTGCCGGATTCATAAGATATCTGGAAGAGACGCGAAAGAACTGGAGCAAGCTCCGCTGCACATCTCTTCAGTACAATGGCAGGAATCAAGTCCGGACCAGAAGCTTTGTTGATGTCGAGCGACAAGAGTACTCGTCTTACGGTATGCCTGAATGTTACCTCCCGCATAGTGTGGGGAACCCTTTGAATTGACGGTACTTGGGCGTTGGTGGGGACGTCCATGGTGGAATTGGCAGCAAAGATCTTGGCTAGCACTTCCGCCTTGGCCTTTGAGTCGAATACAATAGTTCCATCCTGACACGTAAGTGGTGGAAGGCTACTGTGTGAGAAGTTCTTTTCAATCTGCTTGGCCAGCGTCCAGAAAGACCGACTGCCATTGCGCTGCGACATTACCCTGTGCCTAACTTTTATATCATGCTGGTTTTTGGCATTGCGAACCGTTTCGTTATATTTGTTTCTGGGCTCGACGTCGGCTTGTCTGTTCTCTACAGTGGGGTTTTGTAAGTAGGTTCTGTGGGCCTTGATCTTCTGCACTAACACTATGCTGTGACGCGGCAGAAATACGTGTAATACCATATCAGAACAGCAGAATACTTACCAATGCGGCCGGCGTCATGCCGCCAGGAGCAGCAGCCGCGGCCGATAGGTACGCGATCCGTCTGCTGAGATAATTTTTCTAGGATTTAATTACCAAGGCTGGGAGCGTATAAATGTACTAACATTTAAAAATTGTAATAAACCCCTGGCACTGCAAGTTTTTTTATCCCTTAAATTTGTTCAAAAAATGACCAGGATCCTCTGAAACGTCAAAAACTAATGTTTGACCGATTTTTATTCTTTTACCAATGAAAATGAGTGACGTGGTTTTTCGTGATGTACATGTCATAACATCCAAAAAACATATTATCTCATTTTCGAGAGTTTTCTCGATTAAAATACTTTCCCACCAGTGGGACGAGAAACTATGGAAAATGAAGCTAATTTTGACAATAAGTTTGCTACTCTATCTGCAAAAGTTACTGACTAACAAGCTACCAAAGTTGAGTGTTTTTTCGGACAAGATGTTCCACAGCTTCAGAGGGAGCAATCCAAATCCTATAGTACGCAAGTATCAAACCTCTCCCTTTAAAAAGTCTCTTCAAAATATACTAAAATATACAGGGTATTATGAATCACCATCTTTAACAAGTAAAGGGCGAATAGTCGCCAGCAATATATTTAAATAACTTATTCAGATACGATTTCAAATATCGAAGCGAACGACCATTATCCAATCACCACTTTTATACGAGGGTGGATCAAACATGAACCGGACATTTTGTTTCGGTAATTTTATTATACACAATCTCCTCTCTCATTGATGTATTTTTCCCATCGGATTAGAAGTTTTTTAATTCTCCCATCAAAGAATGAAGCTGGTCGTGTCAGTAGCCAATTGTACACGAACGTTTCGACCCTTGCAAGAACTTTTCCCGTAGGAAGACTGGTCTTGGCTTTTCGCGGTGCTGCCTCTACAGGCTTTCGCCACTCCATGGAAAAAATTTTGCCAGTCGTATAGTTGTGTCCTTGAAACTGTCTTATCGTCGAACTGTGCTGTAAATCGAAACAAAAATTTGCAAGGTTTTAGGCCCTCCCGCGACAAAAAAATTATGATGATGCGTTGCGCAACAGGCAGGTGCAACTCTTGCTCATACATGATGCTACTAACAGCTCATCAGTTTCGACGCGCCAAACCGACTCCCCTCTTCCTGACATCCCCGTCCAACATACAGGGTTTGTCCGGAAAGTAATAGGACTGAGACGATTTAAAAAAAAATATTGAGCCAATCGTTACAATTCTTTAAAAATTTTCAAAATAAGCTCCTTCTGCGTCGATGCAGCAACTTGGCGTTGACGGTTTGTCCAGGAGGAACAAATTCATGGTGGATGATGCCTTTGATGTCAAAAAAGACAATGAGCATCGTTTTCACTTTGGATTTGCTCATTCTTCCCTTTTTTGGGCGAGGAGACGCCGTCGTGTGTCACTCGGAAGATTGCCTCTTTGTCTCGGGATCATACTCAAAGATCCACGACTCGTCACCTGTGATTACGTTATTCAAAAATTGGGGGTTACTTTCACACATGTTCAAATTTTCTTGGCACAGTTCCACTCGCCGCCATTTCTGGTCGTCAGTGAGCACTTTTGGGACCATCTTCGCGCACACCTTGCGCATGTTCAAATGCTGTGTCACAATGTCATGAACTACAGATTTTGGTAAATTTAACATCTGGGCAATTAAACGAATACTTAGTCGACGGTCTGAGTTCGAAACTTTGCGCACACGAGTCACATTATCGGTGTTTGTCGAAGTCGAAGGTCTTCCAGCACGGTCTTCATCAGCGACCTCTTTCCGGCCCTCCAAAAAGGCCTGGTACCACCGAAACACACCACTTCTTGCTAAAACAACACCTTGGTAAGCCTGCTTGATCAAATCAAACGTCTCTGTCGCAGATTTACCGAGTTTCGCACAGAATTTAATCGCGTACCTCTGCTCTAACGAACGCTGTATTTTTGGCTTGCACCACTCACAGAAACACGTCTCGCGAAAATGCCTGTTCTGACTCTCCAAGTGCTCGGAGACAACTGACCAGCCGCTCCGAAGTACAGTCATGGCGGAAGAAAATGAGTCCTATTACTTTCCGGACAAACCCTGTATACCAAGACGTCACCCCACTCCATGCACCTATGGCGCGTTAAACAGGAAAGTCATATTTGATTCACCCTCGTATCATTCGTTTCCACAATTAATCAAATCGAATTCCTATTAAAAGGTGGAATTTAGCGTTAGTTATTGATAAATTAGGTATGGATATGTAAAAGTAATTATTGTACACATCAGGGTTTGTGTAGTACTAATCTGATTTCAAGTTGATCATTCGGATGGTATAACGGTTAACAGTATTTTGCCAAATAGATTTCAAAATGTGCGGATATCCGAAATAATTCGATAATACGAGTATAAGGTAATTACATTTCACGATTGCAAAGCGCCTATAATAATACCAGTTATAGAATGGATAAATTGTATTTTGCTTATTGAGAAGGCGATTTAAACACGCCTCACAGGGGACCTACAATAGGATAACAATTTCACGGATTCGTATAGAACACAAAAAAATCATTTCTATAGAAAAATGCACTACGCGCCTCATCTACGGAGATGCAGTCTCCTAAAGAATGGTATTGGAACTTGGAATTTTGAAAATATTATTTTTTTTCTATAGTTGAACCACCACGAACGCCTAAGGCAATGGGTACCGTGGGGCTAGTGGTGGATACAGAGGAAAGGGAGGGACACCACACGGACTCTAGCGGAGGAACACGTGTGCATGCATCCTTTTCACCCTGAATAATAATAACTCAAAGACAATGTCTGGGAAGCCTAACATCACATATATGTATATTATTATGAAATTTCGGAATGAGCCGTTTTTCAGACAGTTTTGTGTCAATACTACTGTGTTACGGACCTCTCAGACTATTGTAGTAACCTGAAAATGAACAGATATGTCACCTGGAAGACAGGTAGATAAAATACTGTCAAAAGTGTCATGTACGAAGGTGACGGTTGTGACCGAAACGTATACTACATTAAAGAAGAATTCAAAAAATATGCGGTTTCGTTGGCCAAACAAGCACGGGGATTACCGACATGAAAACCACAGGATAAGTTTCAGATGCTTCATCAGAATTTATCCAAATAAGAAAGCTCAAAACTGTTTTTCTCAAAAACGGCTCATTATATCGATGTCAAATGAGAGTACATTTTTTCAGATTGAGTAGTAGAATAAGTGTCGAAGGTTATCAAGAAGCGATTTCCAGTAGTTCTCTAGGAGCCTCCATGTCCTTAAAAAATTCCGGAGGATATTTTATAATAATCTCTGGCGAAACAATACTGTATTCAGCAATTAATTGAACAACAGCTGCCATCTTTTATCAACAATTTTATTAAATAGGTATCTCAACCTAGATCACGCTTTCAAGCATTAAATCCCAAAAATATGATCCAAATATGTCACCAAACAGATAGGATCTACAAAAACTCATAAAATAAGCAAATTGTATGCTTAGCAAATTTTGTACGCCAGACTCCAGCTATAATAAGAAATGATATAAATAGATGCATGAATGAAATTTTCAATGAATAAATACACAAATGGCATCAAGAAGATTGACTCTATACTACAAATCGTTTTAAAAGGTGAATCGTGATTAGGTAGGTTCACTTAGGTACGATAAATCATATTTCTGTTTGAATGACAGATGTAGTGAAATATGTGATACTTATTATATCTAAAGGGTGCCTAGTAATCACTGGTATCAGCAGCTTCTTAATAATAAAAGGTCTTTCACTGACACCAAATATGCAATAATTTAATTAGCCTACAATTTTCCCCCAAACAATGTCCGAAAATGAGCAGCAATCTCTGAAACGTTGTAATACTACTACTACTTCAAAATCTACGATTACTTAAGCGATTTAATAGGCCCCATACACCTGCGAACAAATTGCGCAACGGAGCCTGTTGTACCAACAATTGTGTAGTGTATGGGGTTGTTTGACGTGCTGCGCAACGGGTTGCAGAAATTCAAAATAGTTTGATTTTTATTGCACAACCAGCGGCGTTGCGCAACTAGTTGCAGAGTATATGGGCTATTCTGCAGACACGTTGTGCAATAACTGATTGTTTGTCCGAGTTCCACGTGCTTAGTTTTGAAAATGAGCGGTTGTTTTGGAAATAACAAAGAATTTTTAAGCGATTTTATTGATTTATATCGTCAGTTACCGGCAGTATGGAAGGTGAAGAGCGATCTCTACAAGAATAGAAATATGAAGAATTTGGCTTATGAAAAACTAGTTGAAAAACTTAAAGAAGTCGAACCTAATGCCGACAGAGAGATGGTGCGGAAGAAAATTAATGTTTTACGCAGTGCCTATCGGAGAGAATTAAAAAAAGTAATTGCAAGTTATAAATCAGGGACAGGAACTGAAAGTATTTACGAACCAAGCTTATGGTACTTCAAGGAATTAGATTTCTTGAGGGATCAAGAAACCCAAGTACCTGGAACCTCTACCATGAATGACCCATTTTATGAGATTGATAATGAAGACGCAGTAAGTAAACAATTTATATTTTAATTCTGTATTCATAGGAGTATCGGTAAAAAACTAGTTAACATTATTAATTTACAATTATTGCTGAAATATCTTGTTCTGCCATGGAACAGCTCCAACAGTATTAAAATAATTACAAAACTGTGCTCTTATTTGTTTTGCTACAGTGGTAGTGTTTCTTCCTCGGAGTGCCTGTAGTTGTAATAATGTAGGGTCTGCTCTCCAATCAGCATTTGCAACCTCTCCACTATTTATGTTTTCAACATCTATGCCACCTTGATAATACGACTCTACTTTGTAATGTCGCAAGAAGTTGTGCAAGTGGCAGCATGTCAGTACTATGATGACAGCTTTTTCTGGACATAGGTTAATTTCATTTAACAGAATTCTGAAGCGAGAAGCTAGTATCCCGAACGCATTTTCAATGATTCGGCGGCTACGTGACACCCTGTAGTTATAAATCATTTCTTCGTTGCTGAGGGTTTTCTTGCTAAATGGTTTCATCAAATTTTCCATAAGTGGAAAAGCATCATCCCCTACAAAAACATAGGGCAATTTGATATTAGTCGATGTTAAATTTTCTGGTTCAGGAATGCACAGATCTTTTTCTACAAGTTTTTTACAGAATGCTGTATTGGAAAAAACCCCTCCATCAGAGACTCGTCCATTTGCTCCCACATCAACCATCAAAAATTCATAATTTGCATTTACGATTCCCATTAGAACAATGCTAAACGAATGTTTGTAATTAAAGTAATATGAACCAGTTCCAGGTGGCTTAAATATTTTCACATGTTTGCCGTCTATCGCCCCAAGACAATGAGGAAAATTCCACTTCCTCGCAAAAGCTTCAGCCTCATTTCTCCATTCATTTTCACTTTGTGGTAGCTGAAAAGAAAACATGGTTTTATTTTTATAATTGTATTTTTAGAAGTTTGCATGGTGTTATTTGTTGGTATTATTTTTATAATTATTTTTGTAATTTTAAATGTCTGCATGCTATATCTCTTTTATTTGTTGCAGGATTCTTCCCAAGACAGAAGTAGTCAAGGACCCAATACACCTCCAGGAAGGCATGCAGCTCCAGAATCGCCCACACCACCAGAAACAGATACAGCCGCAGATACATATACACTTTCAGAAATGGATGTACCGGTTACTCCTATACAACGTAGAGCTAACAAACGAAAAGGATCAACTGAATTTGAGGAATCACAAACACGGAATGAACTATTGAAGATGGCTTGCGAACATCTTCGCACTTCTAACAAGGAAGTGGAGATTTTGGCAAAAAGTTGGGCATTAGAGTTCATGAAGCTCTCATCAGATCAGCAAATTTATGCTAAAAAAGCCATAAATGATGTTTTATATGAAGGGCGCTTGGGAACTTTACATAGACATTCAGTTGTTATAAATGAACCCCCTGTACGTACCCCCCTTGAAATTTCATCCTGCCAATCATTCTCGTCACATTCAAATTCTGTCCCATCATTCCCGTCTCCAAACCCAGTACAGGTAACTGATGATACTACACAACTACAATATACGGTAATAGGAGAACTACTCACTGACCCACAATATAACTAAGGATATAGTAGTAGTATATAGTATGTTAATCTTAGTTTCTGGTTTATGTTAAAAAGAATAATAAAGTAATACATTTATTACCTTTAAATATTTCTTCAAAACCTTTATGATTGCTTCACAGGTCTCGATGATAATATGTCCAAGGGTTTGAGCAGCAATCGCAGTTTCAAATTTTAAACCCTCAAATGTTAGTCCAGATGCAAGATATCTTAGAGTAGCAAACAATCTCTGCTTGGGAGATATCGCCTCTCTCAATATTGTGTCTTTTTTTTGTATATATGGTGTTACCAGAGCCAATAATTCGCCGAAAGTAGTGGAATTCATTCGTAAATAATTTTTATAATCTAAAGGTGAACTCACTTGAAGTTCTTTAAGGAGATTTGCGTGACTAAAAAGAGATCTTTTCTTTAACCACTCTTTCATCCAAACTCTCTGCTTCCGTTTTCTTTTATTAACGCCAACATCACAGGCTGCAGCAATTATTATAGCTAGACAGGCTGCGTCATTAGACGGCATGTTGAGGTGCATGAGTACAACTCACAACTGAAGTTTGCATAAAATTGCATAGTAAATTGCATAGTGTGTGGATCACCTTGTTTGTACAACCACTTTTTGTGCAACATCCGTTTGCGCAATTTGTTCGCAGGTGTATGGGGCCTATAAGTATTAAACTCGTTTTATGTTGCACAACGATATCTGAATCACACTAGACCGTGTTTCTCATTTATGTCATCATTCTAGACGAAGTAACACAAATTAAAGATTAGGCGAAATGGGTGGTACATTTAAGGATCATAAAATTCCGAAAAATGTATGAGTAGATATGAAAAACAGTTAAGTCATCATTTACAAAAGCATCGCGGAACGCTGAAATGGTATGTACTTCTAATAACCAAATATTGCTAAAATATACTAAGTGACATATAAATCCGAACACCCAGCTTAAATGGTTTTATTTTAATAAAATTTTGTATAAGTACTTAATGAAGCATAATAAGTAAATGATAAAAATTTCAAAATGATTGCACTGCTTTAAAGCCGTGTGACCTTTAATAATGTGTGGATGCACCCTGATGTGCTACGCATTCTCCAACGCGCCTAAGCATGCTTCTGATCAGATGGTCAATGTCCTCCTGTGGTATCTCATTCCAGGCAACCACCAACTCCTCTCGAAGTGCTTCTAGAGTCTGAGGAGGACGTTGCAAATTGAGCAATCTCCTACCCATCATATCCCACACGTGCTCAATTGGGGATAAGTCGGGAGATCTTGGTGGCCATGGTAACAATGTGACATCATTATGTTGAAAGAAGTCTATTGTGACTCTTGCAACATGTGGTCGGGCATTATCTTGTTGGAAAGTTGGATCTGCCAGGGTGTCAAGATAGGGTAAAAGATGGGGTTCTAGAACTTCGTGGATACCTTGTTACCTCTGATGAAGATTAAAGGTGACCTGGAACCATAAGCTATAGCACCCCAAACCATAACTCCAACAGTGTGATGAACATGTCTTTCAACAAAAAACTGTGGATTCCTCCTTTCACCACGTCGCCTTCTAACCCTGGCACGACCATCGTGCATGCCTAAACAAAATCGAGACTCGTCACTAAACACTAAAGACAATACTGTTCCATTCCTGATCCCAGAGTGACCGTTGTCTGCACCACTCAAGGCGATTACGTCGGTGTTCTCGAGTTAAAGGGAAGACCCAGTGTGGCCGGTATGAAAACAAGCCAAAACTTCTCATTCGTCGGTAAACACTTCGCATACCAATAGGTCTTCCGTGTTCTGCAAACCATTCATTTGCAATGGACCTGGTAGTGGAGAAACGGTCCCTTAAGGCCAATAATCTTTGGCGGCGATCTTCACGGTTTGTTGTTCTACGGCGGCGTCCAGTGCCCCTTGCTCTTTGCGTACGGCCTTCTCGAAGCCATGCCTGACAACACCTAACCACAGTGTCTACACTTCTTTGCACTCTAACTGCAATTGCCCGAAAAGAAAGTCCAGCTTCCCGAAGTCCCACTATACGGCCCCTATCAAACTCACTAAGTTGACGAAATCGTACAGGTCTCCGTACTCTAGGCATCGTAACCGATCGTAAAGGATGTCAAGAACGAAAATCCGCCAACGTTGATTCTTTACTGCGGCTGAAATATTCATTTTTAGAGCGATAGTGAATTAAAAAAAAGCAGTATAAAAACCGGAATGTCCAACTGATAAGGCTGAAAATTTTTTCACTTGTTATTTACAGTAAGATAAATACATTCACCAACTTTTATTAAAATAAAACCATTTAAACTGGGTGTTCGGATTTATATGTCACTTAGTATATTTTCCAAATAAGAAAATGGGAAACATTACCACAATATGTCACTTAGTATATATAAATGTGTCTCCCGTAGCGGTGTGTCAATGATGACACCACCGCGGACCAGTTGGAGTTTGTTGCCCATTGTACAGTTGACAGTGGCCTCCAAGTCTTAGCATTTAATCTTCAAATTGTTACCGGGATCGGAAGCTTCTTAATGATAGAACGTCTTTGACTAATACTGAAGACTTTACATTTACAGCCCCCTAGCCACTACCCTACAAAAAAAAATCCGACAATGATCAGGAGCCTATGAAACGTCAAAAAAACAAGTTTGAGCGATTTTAATTTGTTTCGTGTTTCTCTAGCTTTTCCATCCCTGGCACAGTAGAAACCTTGTGTGAAAATTTTATCAAAATCCGAGGTACCTCTCAAGATATAGGCGGTTATAAAACTAGACAGACAGTTAAACCGACTGAAACGAGTGACATCGTTTTTCGTGATGTACATGTCATATAACATCTCGATTTCAAAATTTTTCGCGATCACATACTTCCTCGCCAGTTTTGGCAACGTTGCGACAGTTCCCTTGACCTTAATTTCAGTAAAATCGAAACAAGCACATACAGGGTGGCCCATCCATGTGTGGACGGAATATTTCTCATAAACAAATACATTTTGGGAAAATCCATTTATGGGACATGACATTTGAGGGCACATTTCTAAAATATTGGCCGTTATACAGGGTGTCCCAATTTTGACCTACATATCAAAGTTGTGATTTTTCAAATGGATTGCCTCAAATTTTATCGCATATTTGGATAAATCAATTCAAAAGAAGAAAATTGATATAACATACTATGTGGTTTTGGTAATTAGCTACTGAGATACAAGGTGTTTTGTCTAGAAAAACCCCCTACTTCGGCAACCCCTCAGTCCGCCATTTTGCTATTTGGAGTGCTGAATTTTGTATCAAAAAAATTTACACACCTCAGCTTTTATCCTATTTGTTACTTTTTAGAATTTTAATTTTTGCTTATACAGGGAGGTCAAAAACGCAGATTGTAGTTTTTCTCAAAATGTCAAATGCATCACCCTGTATATTCGTGCAAGTTTGGATTCAATTTATTATAAGCTTTTTTTAATGCTAAGGGTTTTTACGGCTATTTTTTTCGGTTAGCACCTCTTTTATGGAACGGCTTAATTCCCTAAAATATCGCATCATCCTTGGAAACAAATAAATTGTTGATTAGTTACGAACTGTCAAAATTAGCTTTGTGAGCATTATAATAAAAACTTGTTTGAAAATGAATTCTTCTAAAGAAGAAATGGTGAATAAGGTGTTCGTTTTGGGCGAAGCCCAAAGAAATAGTTTCCTACCATCTCGCGTTTATTAGCAACGGTACCCTAATATGCGACATCCAAGGCCGGAAACATTTTCCACACTACGAGAACGTTTTGAATCAAGTGGAGCAGTGGAATATAGTAAAACATGTATAAATAATTCAACTGTCACCAATGAGGCGAATCAGTTGGAGGTTCTATTAAAGTTGCAGGAAAATCCCCATTTAAGTGAACGGCAAACTGGAACAGAAACTGATATATGCCTCAGGATTTCGCAGCTCGAATTGAGTTTAGTAGAATAATGCTTCCTGGATAACGTTCTTTTTAGCGATGAGGCAACTTTTCACAGTATCGGTGTTGTCAACAGGCTTAACATGCACTATTATGCAACGGAAAACCCTTACTGGGCATAGGCAAATAGATTTCCAAAATAAATGGAGCTTGAATGTTTGGGGAGGAGTTATTGGCAGACAAGTTATCGGGCCTTTCTTTTTCGACAACAGATTAACAGGTACAGTATTCAACATGGTGGAGATATTTTCGAGCAGTTTTCGTAGATTAGGTCTTGAGTAGTGATAGTTGTTTGTTTATGATGTTGTTATAGTTGTTTTTCTCTATTACGCTTGAAGCTGATTTATACTGTTCTGATTGTTTCTACCTCAATTCTGTACTCTTAATGGCAATATGGAACTAGCCCACTGTTTGTCTTTTTTTTCCATGGATGACGTGATTTTTTTCATTAATTTTGGTGTGTTGTTCTATTAAAAGCTTAATAACTCAGAATCTAGTGATTTTATCTGTATCCCAAAAAAGCATATAAAAAGCTGATTCTCAACTTGCACAAATATACAGGGTGCTGTATTTGAAATTTTTGTGAGTAAAAGTACAATTCGCGTTTTTGAAAACCCTGTATGAGCAAAAATGAAAATTCGAAACAGTAACAAATGATATAAACGCTGGCGGTTGAGGGGTTGCCGAAGAGGACGGTTTTTCTGGACAAAACACCTTACATCTCAGTAGCTAATCACCAAAACCCCATAGTATGCATAGTATGTTATATCAATCCTCTTCTTTTGAATTGGTTTGTCCAAATATGCAATAAAATTACAGGCATTTCATTTAAAAAAATCACAACTTTGATATGTAGGTCAAAATTGAGACACCCTGCATAATTGTCAATATTTTAGAGATGTGCCCTCAAACAATGTCATGTATAACATGCCGTAAATACATTTTCCCCAAATGTATTTGTTTATGAGTAATATTCCGTCCACACATGGATGGGCCACCGTATATATGAGCTGTATGTGAATCTTACAAAATTATTACTTTTTGTCACCTGTCACTGAA